TTTCTATATATTTTTAGTTGTCCAATTAATTTCTTTCTAATTTTAGTAGAGACGGGGTCTCGCTCTTGCTCAGGCTGGTTTTGAACTCCTGAGCTCAAGCAATCCGCCCGCCTCGGCCTCCCAGAGAGCTAGGTTATTTTTATATTTGAGACAGTCTTGCTCTGGCATCCTGGATAGAGTGTAGTGGCATCATCATAGTTCACTGCAACCTCCAATTCCTGGTCTCAAGTAATCTTCCTTTCTCAGCCTCCCAAGTAGCTGGGACTATAGGCATGCCTCATGACGCCTGGCTAATTTTTCTGTTTAGTAGTGATGGGGTCTTATTCCTGCTCAGACTGTTCTCAAACTCCTGAGCTCAAGCAACTCTCCCGCTTTGGCCTCCCAGATGGGAGCCACTGCGCCCTGGCTGCTTTTTAAAATATTCTACTATTATTTGGAAATTAGAGAATATGTGGTTGATTTTTGTTAATGATTTTGATAATGTTTCCTCCAAAAGTTGTGTGCTATAATGATCTTTCTTTAAAAACTGATCTTTTTAAAGCAATTTTAAAAAATACTTGGTTCAAATTGATCAAGCTTGTCATCATTTAAAGCAATCGTGCATGTTCTTTTTACATAAGTAGTAAGGATTACTACAGTTTCTTAGCATTTTCCATAAAGGTATACTTTTTTTCTTTAAGTAATTTTAATGAAAAGCCAATGTTAATGCTGCATCAGTGGTGAAAATTTACTTTATTTGTACCTTTCTTAACAGTGAAATTATCTTAACCCCAATTTTGAGTATAGTGGCTATGAAAAAATGACTACTTAATAATTTAACTGAACAACGTTAGATTTTGAAGGATTAGATATGAGATGGATAATGTTTGACTGACTTATGATGGATCTGTTTAGATTTGGAGAAAGCAGGTAAAACTGACTTTTAGGTGAAGTGTTTGGCACATGCTTAAGAAAAGAAATACTGCATAAGCAATTATGTTTAAATTATAAGGGGATTAAAGCAGATATGTACAGAATATGGCATTGTTACAGTTTCCCAGCTGATTCATGAAAAATTAAATAGGATTATTCTGAAGTTAAGTTTTAATTCAAGAATTGTCAAGTGAAGCTTTAAGTAAGTA